TAACGATCATGACCAGGAAACAGGCTTACTTGTGCTATGAGGGACCCAGGCTTGATGGGAAAAAACAACGGGTTTCTAATGTCTTGCAAAAGCCAGCAAGGTTCAGGCAAGTGAGATCTCTGGGAGAATGCCAGAGGGTGGGTACCACAGCAGAAAAGGCTGTTCCTGTACCCATCAGATGGAACTCTCTTGTGGACAGGAATTGAAATCATGCTACTCCCGCTAGATCTAACAGGATGGGTAGACACCACAGGGGACAGATGATTCTATAGGTTAATACTTCTTCCCAGCAATTAACATCTTTAGGATGTTACAAAACAAATGCTTTAATGAACCATTATTGTTATGTCAAATAACACAGATTTACTCACCTGTTTTGTATTTAAACAGGACAGGATGCAGTAAGTTTGAAATATGAATATGGTCTGATATTACCGAATGAAGCTGGTGAAGGTAATCACAGGAAATGAAAGTTTAGGTGTAATTCTAAACAATAAAATCAAAATCATTAGGCGCATGTTTGTGTCATTTAGGCTGTTGTGGGTGTTTGGGAGAAGTGTATGGCAAAAATGAGCAAAATCTGGCAAATGCAGTGTGAGACAGGGGTGGTACAGATAAAAATTTTGTTTTTTGGTAATCACTACAATATTTATGAATGTAAGAACATTTACTGTAGATTTGATAATTCAGAGAAAGCATATGATAAAGTAAATAGGCTTGAATTTTGGAGTGTGTTGTAAAATATGTTAAAAATTGCTTGCTAAATAGCATAAATATGACATATAATTCACATAAGTAAAGAATTTGTAATAAATGAATGCTTATTAAATGGTTCCATACTCAGCAGGGAATAGAATAAGGATGGCTGATGTCCCTTTGACTGTTTACTGTCTGTGTGGATCAAGACATAAAGAATATAATCCATTAAGACACATGTTTCTGTAATAGAAGCTAAGAATGATGGCAAAATGGAAACTTGAATGAAATAATTGGTTGGCCCATAAATATTCAGACAGAATGGAAGCTTATATTTGGAAGTTCAGTGGAGATTCAACAAGCCAGAGAACCAGCTTCATTACAAATTACAGCAAAAAACTTGTTTCAAATGTTCGTAATATCCTGTCTGTTCAGACATTCTGTAAATGAAAATTCAGATTCAGAATAAATGGCTTTATATACTGAATTAATCTAAAGCCCTCTGACTAATTCCTGAAACTTTGGCTATTATTTCAAAGTTTCTTGAATGTATAACCCAGGGTTTATATGCACAAAAATAGATTTTGAAATACTCAGGATGGAGGAATAGCTGATGAAAATGACAGAATTAGCAGAGATGGCAAAATTGACTTTCTTGATTAGAGAAAGGATCAGAGGTGGGCTGCTGGTTCAGGTGAACTGGTAATTCAAACCAGCGGCTGGGCCTGCCCATTCGCCCTGGCGCTAATCCATCTTTATATCATTGCTGTGTCTTTGAAGCCGCGCACATGCTCACATTTTCAGTTCTGGGCGAACTGGTTGTTACATTATGTGACACCCATCTCTGGAAAGGATCATTGTATTTATTAGGGACTAGAAAGTTCTTACGGACTTTTTTTAAAAAAAGAAAATGAACTTGTGATTTATGGGTTTGATGATTACAAAGGATGGACTATAGAAAGATGGATTATAGGAAGATGGAAATTATATTATAATCTTAGAGAGAAAGTTCAATTTAAAGGAACTGTTTGTAGCTGCTGTTAAGATTGGAAGCCTCTACTTTACAATTTTTTTGTTTTCTTTCTTCTTACAGTTTCTTTTATTTCTTATTCACTATTTTTGTGTTTTATTTCTTTTTCTAAAATGTGTATTGTTATTTATCTTGCTAAAGACCTTTTTAATAAAAATTGCATTGCAAATAGACAGAATTTGGAGTATAGCCACCTATAGCTGGCATCTTCTTTAAACTACTGCCATCTTGTGGGGAAATTTTTTTGGGCCATATTCACAATGTAGGTTTAAAAAGCACAATGTAGCACAGGCTTGAGCTTTTTAAATGTGATAATAGTGGTAGTCCTCAATTTACCACAGTTCATTTAGTGTCTGTTCAAAGTTACAATGGCACTGAAAAAAGTGACTTATGACCATTTTTCAGTTACCATCTTTGTAGCATCCCCATGATCAATTTCAGAAGCTTAGCAACTGATTCATATTTATGACTGTTGCTGTGATCATCTTTTGAGACTTTCTCACAAACAAAGTCAATGGGGAAGCCAGATTCACTTAAAAACCAGGTATTAACTTATCAACTGCAGTGATTCTTACAACAGAGGCAAGATTGGTAGTAAAATGGGGCAAAACTCACTTAACAAATGTCTCATTTAATAACAGAAATGTTAGGCTCAGTTGTGGTCAAGGACTACTTGTATATTCCAAATTGACGGTAGAACTTTGTCCTTTATTTCTGTTTGAAAGCTTTTAATGCATGCACCTCCACATACACTATATTGCCAAAAGTATTCGCTCACCCATCCACATAATCAGAAGCAGTTGTGAGCGAATACTTTTGGCAATATAGTGTATATTTGAAAAACCATAAATAACAATCACTCAAGAGCTCCACTAAAAAAGGAATTCTCAGGAGTCTTCTATTTACAAAGCTTGCTTTACTATTACTATTAATCTTCTCATCGTTCCTATCATCCATCTCCTCCCACTTATGACTGTAACTTTGTTGCTTGTATCCTTACGATTTATATTGTTTCCTAATATGATTTGATTGCTTACTTGCACCCTTACTTGTACCCTATGACTATCATTAAGCCTTGTACCTTATGACTCGTGACGAATGTATCTTTTCTTTTATGTATAGAGAGCACATGCATCAAAGGCAAATTCCTTGTGTGTCCAATCACACTTGGTCAATAAAGAATTCAATTCAATTCAATTCATTTCAGTTCAATTAAATTCAATTTTCCACTTCCCAAATTCAAAAAGTATCAAATCTCTCTCCTAGCTTCTTCGAAACCAAACTTTTTTATTTCTACAGTGCATCACAGGAAAAATCCACTGACTATATAATTTTGATCTTTATAGCTCTAGATGTATCAAGGCATCCAAACATATTTGCCGGGGTGTTCATTGCTACTCTACCCAGTGCTAGCCTTTTGACTTCAAAGAACATCTTTGTCAGGCAGTGTTAATCTAAAACAGATTCTGTAAAAAAAATGGTCAAAAAAATGATCAAAAAAATGGAGAGTGAAATAAAACATAGGCAGGGTTTTTAAAGTTTATATTGGAAATGGAATTATAATTAGAAAAAAAAACACAATATGGATCAGAAATAGATTTGTCCATCCCCCCGAGAACTCTACATAGTATTTCATAAGAGACTCTGTTATTTAAGTCATTGTACATTTTACTTATTTATATGATTTACCCCCAACAGTCAGAAGAACTTGCCATATCGATCTATCAATTCTATAGATGTAGAACAAAATCATGGTGTAGCAGAGTCATTCCATGCTTATTTCTAAGAAAAGAATCTGGGTTATTCATTATTGGACATATGGTACAAGGACTTCTGCCCACTATTATCAGAAGCTTGTAATTATATTACATTAGAGGGCAGTATAAAAAAAATTGAAGAAACCCAAATACTACTGTTCCACGCTTTCTAGGGATTCTTTCCTTTCTCTTCCAGTTTCTCTTAAAGCATCTTCACAGATTGCAGGTATCCTGTATGCAACTACTTGCAAAAATAATTGAACCTTGTGCCCAGTTCTGCTCCCCCACTGACCTGCTAAGGCTTACATAAAGAGCATGCACATCTTTCAGGGATGGGGAATCTTTAATGGAACCTTCCACTAAATAAAAGGGCAAAAAACCCCCAATTTCATGTGTTAGTTCCTACCGCAATTGCTGTTGTTGGTATTGCTTTTGTCTAGAGTCTGAAAGTAGCTGTAAGTCCTCTGGCTACAGACGAATGGTGTATGTATATATATATAGTCCTTGAATTAACTGGTCACTTAGCTACCAGTTGAAATTACAACACCCCCTCCCCCAAAAGATACTTATGACCAGTTTCTGGCATTCCCACAGTTGTGCCCCCATGGTAACATGACTGCATTTCAGATGGTTGGCAGTCAGGCCACATTTATGGCTATCTGCAGATGGCCATAAATGTTACAGGAATTATTTGCATTTTTTGCCAAAATCTGGTGTTTGCTTCCGGTTTCTGGCAAAAGCCAGCCATAGCGAATGTGTTTGAATAAAGACAACAGTGTTAACTTGACCATGACAAAAGTAGAATTGGGTCACTCCTGTAATGACTCACTTTAGGACTGTCACAATGTATGGCCATGTTGTCAGGCTTAATTATGATTCTAAGTCGAGATAGTATATTAGATACATAAAAAAAAGTATTCTCCATTAGAAACATCTGCTTAGTATTCTGTAATCTTAAAAAGTTAATGCAACAGAGTTCTAGGGGCAGATGGCAAGACCAACCTGGCTCAATGAAGCAGTGTTATTTACCAATGCAAAATTGAGAGATATCTCTAGTTGTTTAAAACTCCTTTTGTATTTCATTTTAAATTAAGGCTATTGGAAGGCCAAGGTAAATATGCAGTTCTCTATTAAAGAATTGAATATCTATAAAGGTAAAGGTTTTCCTCGCACATATGTGTTAGTTGTTCCCGACTCTAGGGGGAGGTGCTCATCTCCGTTTCAAAGCCGAAGAGTTAGCGCTGTCCAAGATGTCTCCATGGTCATGTGGCCGGCATGACTAAACACTGAAGGCGCATGGAACACTGTTGCATTTTTACATGCTTTCGAACTTCTAGATTGGCAGAAGCTGGGACAAGCAACGGGAGCTCACTCCGTCATGCGGCGCTAGGGATTCGAACCGCCAACTGCCAACCTCTGATTGACAAGCTCAGCATCTAAGCAACTCTGCAAAAAAAGTTGCAAGCATAATTCCTCGATCCCCAACATTCACTTTTATTCCCTCATTAACATAAATACTGGATACCAACTCATTTAATTTATTTTGCTCTCTGATATCACTTACATAGTTATAAAGCATTTTATACAGAATGTATGGGATCCATTTTGCCACTGGGACACAAAAGACCACAAGAAAATCTAGATGATCCAGAGGCTTTCCATCTTGCATTGGACTGTCTAGTAACGGTTCAAATATGTCCAAGTGCGGTTGTAGTTGTAATCCAGAAGTTGCTCAACAGGTCCTGAAAAAGAACCAATTTGTTTGAGATACTGTAAAGAAACCCCTGGCATTTACTTGATAAGCTTGAAAAGAAGAGCTAGATAGAAGTTTTATTGGTTTTCTATGAACCATTGTCAGATCAAATGTAACAATGCTTCTCTGTTCAATGTTTCAAGTAGCCTAAACCTTTTGAATATAAATTAGATTCAATAATGTATCAAAATTCAAGTCAGGCATTTTGAGAAAAGTTGGCGTTTGAGGGCGAGGAAGATTTTATCTCCTATTTCTTTGGAAACTGCTTTCAAAGAGCTTTGCTTAAAAGTTTCAGACAGAATCTTAACAATTGCACTGGATGATGAGGGAAATCACCAGTGGTTCTAAATCATCTATCTGTTCAGGCAAGTTTCAAGAGGAAGCTTTTCTGGGCTGACAGGTAAACATTGAAAGGTACAACTACAAGCAGATAATTCATGTGGTAGGATAAACTTAATCTCAGAAATAACATATTCACAAACATTCTTGGTGTCCAATTTCATTATGGCTGTCTTAGAATGGGATTGTAAGAAGGGTGGCATGCAGATCTGGTATTATACTGAATTCAGTTTTGTCATAAATAACCAGAACATGATTTGGGAAAGTTAATCTGAAGCATTTTTAACACACCAAAATAGACAACAGATTGTTTCCTCCTTCCTTAGCAATCAGAACTCAAAGCCTATCAACTTACCAACTCCTGCAACAACTGGACATTTGTCATATACGTATTTACTGCAGACATCCTGAACCGTTTTGGTATCAATTTCCTAGAAGACAGAAAAAATTAGATGTACTTTCAGAAGAAAATTAGACAATTTGCTAATTACATACACTGACTACCAACCAAAACTGAACGTCATTAGCAAAACTCAAATTGATATTGCTCTCATCTACTTGAGTGTGTTCTAAGAATACAATATTCTCTTCAAAAATACAGAACACCTTCATAGATTACTTCCTTCAGTGATTACCTGAATCAGAAACCAGCACCCCAACAAATTAGAACTCCTTGAACTTCATGAGAAACACCTCAAATTGTCTAAGGATTTTTACATGTTGCCAGATAGGCTCCAGAATTGTAGAAAACTGACATACCACCCTTGATATTGTAGTACTGAGTAGAATGCCATGTCTTAACACTTATCAAATAGTAATGCAAACACTAAACAGCACCAGTTCGATTGGAGCAATACAAAAATAATTGGCCATGCTACCATCGCCACACTTCTGAGTTCATCAAAACCTGGCACTCCACAAGCAATTCCATCAAGAGACACACTGACCTACAACCAGCCTATGAACTCCTCAGAATCCAAATCAACCACACAGAGACACCACCAATCCTCAACCAACCCATGCAACCTTCCCGCCCCCCCAGTTCATTCCCTAATGGCTCTGATGTAATCTCCTTATTACATCCACCACAAGACTCACTGCTGACTCACAGCTGACCCATCACAAGACCCTCACTTGCCACACCCACACCTGAAGCTCTTATAAACAGATGAACACTGACACTGATATGCCCTAAACTCTGCTGAAGATATTACCTAGTCTAGTTACGAAACATTTGGAAGCCAATCCACAAGCTCGCAGAACGAACCTTCACCCTCATCTTATACCTGAGCTACAGATATTCACCATTATTGCAAAATAATGCAAATAACTACTGTTTCAGTTATAATCTAGTAATGCAAGAAGATTAGTGAAATTAAGCTTCCTCTTTCATCAAACAAAACAATAATACTTACAGAAATTCTGGCATCCCATTCTGCCAAAGGTATCCGACGACCATAGCTCAGCAGCTGGGTGGCAATACTCTCACACATTGGAGTAGTACCTGAAAAATCATAGTGGATTGTCAATGGAGTCATTAAGTATCTTTTCAAGAAGTGAAGCAGATTCCACAATACACAAACAATTATATATTATTATTTCTTCAACCTGCAGCTAATGAATACCATTCAAAAATTCTTGTAGTCAGGTATTTCATATAGGGCGCTACTAGTATGCAAGCTTTGAAGTTCTTCATCATCAATATTACGAAAAAAAGCAGAAGATGAGGAAGAGCTAATGTTTGGGCCAGATGTTTGAGTCAACCACCTGCCTTTCAAAGCTAGTCTCAAAACATAAATTGTGGACTGAATATTTTTTAGAGGTAGAAATTATTAGTATCAGGCTACACCTAGCACGTAGGGATAAAGACAGTGGTTGCTTCCAACTCTAAAAATATACCCTTGTCTCTTGTTCATGGGAAAATGCACAGAGAGAAGTAACAATGAAACACTTTTCATAGTAACTTTGTCCTACCCTACCAAATGCAGAAAAAAACTGTGTAAACAGTTAACTAAATCAAATTGGTCTACAGTTTATTGCTTAATAGTGTCAAACTTTAAAATTATTTCTTCACCCTGCAGCATACTATGCATAATCAAGCACCAATGATGCCTGCCGTTTATTATTATTGTTATTACTATTATTGTTACTATTATATTTTCTATTGGAGATTTAATTTCATTGCTAAAATAGTAAGCTTAGACAAATAAGATTAGATGTAGTAAATGAGACATGTTTGCATTATTTGTGTAGTCACATTGTTATACACATGTTATAAATTTCCACAATAACATGCTTATCTTCTGCAGAATGGTCAATTTAGACATTAGAATGTGCTGGGTGGCACAGAAGAAAGACTAGCAAACATTTTAAATAGAGAGGAATTCAGGAAAAATGTTATTTTCATTACACTTTTCACATAAGAAAGAAAAACCTGCTCAGGAGTTGTTAAAATCGAAACTGCATTAGGAGACATACCATCTAGTTGGGCCACCAAGTTCCTTCGAAGAACTTTTTTGCCTCTCTCCAAGTCGTGTTCGGGCAAGTCAGTGCAAATGCGCATCCTAAAAAACCAACAAGAGTTGAAGAAAGATATTAACCAAATGTAATACATCTTTAAATGACAATTCCCTTCCATTTTAGGAAACTTATGCTTGTTGATAGCAAGGAAACTAGGTTTGTTATTCTACATCAGGGGTATCAGACTGGATTTTCTTTGAGGGCCGGATCAGCATTGTACTTCTCCTCCGTAGGTTGGCTTGGAGGGGAGGGGGGGGGCAGACAGGACAGATGCCTCTTGCATACCCTGCCAGTCAAAACAGGCCATGGGGGGGGGGGAGCACACGGCCCCCTCTGCCCCATTTTGGCTGCCAGAGGCACCACAGGCCAATCCTTTGCTATTTCCAGGCTGGCCCCTGAAAATAGATTTGAACACCCCACGGTTGAGTTTGACACCCCTCTTCTACATAAAAGCTGAAGGAAGAAGATAATCACAATAGAAACATATAGACAGATGAAACAGAAAGAGTAGTATACACTTGAGCTAATATTTAAATCAGAACTCTCTCATAGAGGCATAACAAATACAATTAGATTCTGATATAGACGCTGCAATGCACTATATCACACTAGAATCTTTCAGAACAGGTTTTGAGACTATTTTGCTTCTGCTTTATTTTCCCATTTGCAAATATTTTTTTCCCATTAATCCTTGGAAAGCTATTTCCTGAAGTCCATTTACAGACCCATATAGCACCATTTTCTTACAAAATAAAAATAACAAAATAGAAATGAAACCATCCTTACCATTCATATCTTCCCCAATCACTTGAGTGTAAAATATTGAAACGACCACTGACAAAATAAAAACCAAAAAGTCCTGTATCAGAGTAGGAAAGGTTGAAGGTCTGGAAACTTTGACAGAGGTCATGCTCCGCAAAATCAGCAGCCATTTTGCTATACAGATTCTGTAAACAGATAGTTAAGATTTACTATGCAAAAATGAAGACATAGCTCATTACTAACAAATTATTCATTCACAGTAATTAACCTTGAAATAGCCATTATTCAGTTATATCAGTACATTAATCACCTAAGCCAGACAAGTGATGAAGCCTAACAAAGTCATTAGAGAATTTCTTAAACTTAACAAGAAAAAAAATCCTTGCCATAGAATTTAAATACCATAATGCAAATCAGCACCTGTCCAACAAAATTGAATTCCTAGAAAAAATAAACTGAATGCAAAAAGGGACTTTACTTAAACCAGAATATTAGCTATGCTGTTCATCTGTAACATTAGGGAAATTAAATCAGCAGTAGGTAAATGTTCCCGATCAGAATGGCTTGTGGGGAGTTCGAACAAGGAATTCTCCAAGTTGGCAAAGATTCCTGAAAATTTCAGGCACGGTCAAGAAATGAATCATTATACAAGTCAACTCAGAGTTCTCACTCAAGGCATAAAATATCAGGTACTTTGGATACATTATGTAAAAATCCAGCTTTCCGGAAAAGGCTCTAGTGCAGGGAAAGATGGTAGATAAGAGAAGAAGATGACCAACAGCAAGATGGATGGATTTAGTTACAATGGACATGGGTGCACTAAAGAAGACTTAAAGGACCAGATTAGGGACAGATTGTCATAGAGGAAATGTGTCTATGTGGTTGCTAAGTGTCAATATTGACATCATAATCGATCAAAAGAACATGCCAATCACGATGCCTTACCTTACTTCCACCAAAGGTAACGTCGTAGCGTCCTATGATTGAATTAATTAACAGGAGGACAAGGTTGTCTGGGCTACCCCAGCCAGGCCCCTCCACTGCGAAAGCAACATGAGCCAAAGGTAATTCATCATCTCTGACTGTGACCTAAAAGGTGTATGAAGCAAGAAAAGAGAATAAAAAGCCCAGTCTTATCTTTTTGCAGATAACATTTCCCTTTTTATTTATTAAACCAATACCAAAACAGAGAATTCATCTTTTATTTTTAAAATATTTTCATCCCACTTTAAAAAAAAAATAGTGTATCTTGTATTGAGAACTTGAGAGTGGCTGTGATAAACACGAACATTCAGCCTTCTTATTGCTGTGATAGCCAAGAAATGTAGGCAAGGAATTTAAGTGAAGAAGTGAACATAAAGAAAGGGCCAATATTAATACCTTAACCTGCTTCAACATTAAAGGTATTTCAGATGTAAAATAAGTAGCTACTTCGCAGGGAAGTGTTGAGTTGCTAAAAATAGCTATACTATGCGAGGAGAATATTCAAGGCCAGATACACATTTATTTAAATGATTTATATGGCCGCTCATCTCACAACAGTGACTCTGGGCATGTGTACAAGAAATAAAGTAAGAGCTACAATCAGTAAACCATGATGCACAAGATAAAGCAATATAACTTAATGACAAAAACCTACATCAGCAGCAGAGCTTGCTTAACTTTCTGGCCAAAAGACTTGTGTGTATGTGTGTGGGGGGG